CACAAATTTGCATCTAAATTCTTATTATTCGCTTTCTTTTGAACAGGAGATGGAGTCGCTGCAGAGGGCCTGCATGGCGCTGTCAAAGGAGAACGGCAGGCTAGAGGTGAGTAGCATGCACGCGCACCATGATACCAATCTTAACTTCTCCGTAGCATTAGCATAGATAGATGCCTTCAGGTTGGGCGGGACCCGAGAGTGCGCAATCATAAGCACAAAGAAAGAGAGAAAAATCGGTTCGGGGCCTCCATTTGCGTGGTAGAGCAGCCTTAAAGCGCAAGTGAATGAATCGATGGCAAAAGAAGAAATTATGGACCGTCCTGAGCCTCCCAGCGGGGCACAACTGGGTGGGTCCTGGCTTAATCTATTTGTGCCGTGGTTCCTACTAGTAGTACGATTTTTTGGGTTTGGTCGAGGAGTGTGGCTTTGATTTCATGGTCGCATTCCTCTCAACCACCGTTCTTGTTGTTCTTCCTTGGGGAAGAAAATTGAGTGCGGCCCGTGCCGTCCGGATAAGCTTTAGGCAGGCAGGTTTAGACGTGGGTTTCTGTCGTCGTCTTCGTCTTGAGGTGGCGTCGCTGTCCATGGGCCCGGCGGGGTAAGAATGATGTGCCTACGGCCCTACGTAGTAGGGCGAGTTGAAAGACCTGATCGGTCCCATTAGCCAGAATTCCTACTCCGTTATAAGACATTTTTAGGCTGGACTGGATGGGACGAGACTTGCCTGCTCCCGGCGTGTGCCCATCCGTGCTCCCACATACATGGCTTGATTTGATTGGAAGAAAATAAAGTCCGGCCCCATCCCCTTGAAATCAGGGGGAGATGGTTAGATTAGAAAGAAAAAAAAAAGACAACCATAGGATGAAGTGAGAGCACAGATGGGAGCATGAGGAGGGAGCAGGCAAGCCGGATCCGACTGGATGGACCTAAATGGATCTGCGCGCACCTATCCGGCCGGGCACGACGATCCCGTGCCCTTCTTTAATGCCTGCAGCAGCGCTGCCGCCGTTACTATAGTCGAAGATGCATGGTGTACGTACCACCATCCTCGTCTCAGCCACGGCTGCCTGCCACCCAGGTCTCATCTGGCCGGTACGGCTGGCCTCTAGTGTGTGGCCGTGTGGTCTGTACAGTGTCACCACACACGTAGGTGAACAAGTTGCACTGTGGTGGCAATATATTTTGGCCGGCCCAACCCACCGAAATGGTCCCTGCTTGTGTTTGCTTTGTCCCTGCTCTCCTCTTGTCTATCATTCCACGGTCAGGGGGTTTGCTTTTTCCAGCCAGCGCTGTGATGGCCAACATGTTCGACCTGCTAATATAACTAAGGGATGCTATTACGCGCGCGCGCGTTAGAACGATCGATTTCCGACAGCGTGTTAGAAACTCAAGTTTCCTTGTAAAGAAATCAGGGTGAGGCTAATTAATCAGGCATAGCGGGCCCCCCACCGGTTGAAATCACGGGGCAGAGTTTTATATATGGAAGGAGACACTAGGCCCCACTATTGAAATCACGGGGCAGAGTTTTATGGATGGTCTGGACATGTGGGTGGGCCCTGCGCCCTTTCCGACAGTGTCGTACACGCGATACCCAGGTCGAGCGTTGCCACGTGCGGCCGCGTATGAGTCTTTTCGTAACTAGTGATTCGTACATTACGCGCTTCATCACAGTGGTCCTTATTGATCCGGGTTCGATTTGCTACCTGAATTTCAACCGCTGGCTGTGTGTTGCTTAGCTTGTACTCCCTCAGTTTCTAAATATTTGTCTTTTTAGGCATTCCAAATAACTACTACATATAGATGTATGTAGACATATTTTAGAGTGTAGATTCACTCATTTTGCTCCGTATGTAGTCACTTGTTGAAATGCCTAGAAAGACAAGTATTTAAGAACGAAGAGAGTACTACATACTAACTTTTCCTTCTGACCTGCAGACAAGGCTTGAGCATTCGTCCTCGGGCAAGCGGAAGAGGATCGGCTCCCAACAGGAGGAGCGGCGACAAATGAAGCCGCAGCAAGCCGGTGGCGGCTTCGCGCTCCCGGACCTCAACTTTCCGGCGCAGGATGTCGTCGCCGACGCACCGGCGGCGGCTCCGTGACGGCTCCGGACCGGAACCCAGGCCGTTTCCGGTGGCGGCGCCTGACGGCTAACCTGACAAGTTTATTAACCGTGTATAGGGGAGGAAAGCGGTCGATCTCTTACCGTGCGTGGCGTGCTGCCTGGGAAGAAGAGGAGTGAAGTCTGACCGGTCTCATTACCTTAGCTGATAAACATTTTTCTTTTGTCTAGTTCGAGGTTTCACCGCTCGCTTCTTCTTGTGTACCAAACTACCAATGTAGCTCAAGTTTCAGGCGTGCTACTTGGTTCCTGTAAACAAACAAACAAACAAACAAACACAGTACGTTAGGTGAGCTGTTGATGCTCTCTTGTTGAATCTGCCCAGCGGCGCTTAAGTGCCAGTGACACACATGAAGTTCCACTTGAGTCCATTAAATCTTCTCGGAGAAGACTTGTGTAGAATACATAAACGTGACAATGTGATCTTCGAGTGGTAAGTAAAACTCAAGGTTACAAATCCCTGCATATACGGAAACTTTAATCAAGTACAAGCTCAAACCCTGCACAAATGTGGAGCATTTTCGGACCTGGATCTTGACCACAGGGGTGTCAATCTTCTCGTGTAACTATAAAGCGCTGCACACTTTCAGACTTTATAAACTTTGACCAGGTTCATAGAGAAAAATATGTATATATACAATACCAAAAATATAAATATGAAACTACATCGTATGATGAATCTAATAATATATGTTTGGCATCCTAGATGTAAACATTTTCTCCTTAAGCTTGGTCAAAGTTTGTGAGGTTTGATTTAAAAAAAATACGCTACATTATGAAACGGACGGACTGTATTATTCAACAGAGTCTGACAAAACAAATACATGAAATCACCCCAGAGCCACCTTCCTCGCTATTGATGCCGCTACACCTGTTAGTCTGATGATGTGCCTTGATCTCGTACCAATGCACACCATTTAATCCGGTGGCTTTACCATGCTGTCCCACAGCAAACCAAGAGCATCGACCGGTCTATCAGACCATCAGCGCGCACTGCATGCACACGCTCCGGAATCCACCGTTGTCATATTTCACCGTCCGAACTTCAGGAGAGATCATCACATTGACCTTGCCAGGCCTAACTGTCATCGATGCCAGACAACACCAACACCTTGCATGCGTTTATCAACACATGTCCAACGTTGAGACCCGCCGACGAGGTAGAAGCCACACCGCACCACCTCTTGGCCCCTCCTGCAAGCACCTGCTCCATAATAATACCCCTGGAGGGAGAATGACACCGAAGGTTCCATCATTTTCCGATTAGGGAGACCCAGATCTAGGGTTTCTCCCAGAGCAGCCCGAGCGAGGTGATGCCGGCAGGTGCCACCGGATAGCATATCTGGGCCACATCGCAGCCGCCGCCACCAACACCCAACACACCCACCACCTGAGGCCAGACGTACCACCCACCACCAGACGAAGCCGTCAGGAGCAGGTCATGTTTAGCCTCTCGACCCTACGCACTGGCCCGTCAACTCTGGCCCGCACCGTCTGCACGCGCGTGTTGGGAAACATAGTAGAAAACAGAAAAATCACCCTACAATCAATATCCCGCATCACTATGAAGATGCATATAGAGCTTAGCTTGGAACGTTAGCAACTTCGAGTTGCAGCGGAAGAAGTGCTGGTGTAGATCATTGATGAAATCCCACATACTGTTCACAGATGATCCATCGGACCGAAGACCGAAAGCACAACCTCTCTACGGATTGCACACGTACGGGACTCACAATGCGATAGCGCTTTGACGTCCAGAGCTTGACGTCGCCGGAGAACTAGAGGAGGGAGGAAGAGAACCACAAACGGCTTTTCTATTATGAGGACTAGAGAGAAATGAATCTAGATTGAAGAACTAGATGAACTACAGAGAAGGGGCCACCCGGAAAAAAAGGGACTTGTGTATCTAGGGGCACGCCCCCTTTGAGTATATATATAGGTAGAGGGAGAGGGGGAGGCCGACTTGG